GAAGTATTCGTTTGGTAAAAAAAAATACAACACCGGAATATATGTTGGGTGGGGATCGCTAAAAGCGCGAGTGAAGGAATGGATGACTGCAACGTAGGGATATCGAAAAAGCCTCAAAATAGTCCTATATTATGTGATCGCAGCCGTATTCGGGTAATGAAGTTTGGGCTCATGAACGGGATGAGTTTTGCGCCTGTTGTTCAGGCCGTAGGCTCTTCTACTCCTATCTTCACAGTCATGTGCCAGGATTCATTTGAGTCGCTTCCCTAATTCGGGGAGTTAACTCCTAAAATTTTTACCGTAATCAGAATTTTCATTTTAGAAAAAACAGAAAGCTAGACAGAGAAGAATCTGCGTTGCAAATAAGGTTGGCGCATATACAACAGCAAATTCTCGCAAAACTCCCACTTTTGGAATCGAACGATTGAAACTTACACCTATAAGACTGAGCGTGAAGTTATCATCGAGGCTCACGTCGAACATCACGTCACTGTTCATTCCGATGAGCCCATGGACCACGATGCGGTAGGTTTTCACACTTTAATAGATTTGGCGATATATATGGTGTCTCTGCAGTACCACAACACTTACACGTATAGAATCGTCATATCTATGAAGTTGCGAGTCGCAAGCAAATTGCCTGTTCACTCTGCTGGCAACTCGCTTGTATCTTGCAAGCCTCTCCTCTCTGCTGGCAACTAGCTTGTGTCTTGCAAGTCCATAGACATGACGTTTCTATACGTGCAAGTGTTGTGGCCACCGCAGAGACAATCATATTCATCGCCAAATCTATTAGACTGTGAAAAACTACCGCATCTTGGTCGATGGGCTTATCAGAATGAACAGTGACGCGATGTTCGACGTGAGCCTCGATGATACCTTCAAGCTCAGTCGACTGTTCGATTACCAAACGTGGGAGTTTTGCGAGAAATTTGCCAAGGCCTTCGAGAATACTATTTGCAACCAAAAATTAACAAAGAACATGAAAAGAACCAGGAAACATCTAGAAAAACTCTAAAAATCAGAAGAAAAACGCCAACCTCACTGTCTGTCTTCTCATGATGAGGATCAGCCTCATAGGCAACAGTTCGTACATGAGTTTGGCGCTCTTTTGACGTTTGTCATGGCGTCTCTGTAATGAAGTCGATCATATGCAAAAGATTTCATGCTTCAAGCAAATTTCAAAATGTTTTCTTCAAAACAGGTATACTACAAGGTTGGGTAAGAAAAGTCTGTAAGAGCGGACCTTTACGCTTCCGCCCAACCTCAGACATTCGCACCGGCCGGCGGCCGCACAAAGACCGGCTGGCGCGACCACATGTCATTGCATACAGTTGCGTAGTCTACGCCCGCCGGCCGGTATTCGGACGGGCGCCGGCCGGAAAGGTACGGCCGCCAGCCGGTGTATACTGAGGAACGGTAGAACTGTTTTACGTGGTAGAACTGTCTTTTATTCACTGGCATATAGGAAAATACACTGCAAAGAACAAGGATCAAGGCCGCTGATGTAGCAGCTTCGGAGACCACGTCCGATTTTAAAATTCGACAACACCGAGATACTATCGAGGGTTGTCTATAAGACAACATGTTGCGTTGTTCCTGCTTCGGAAATTGAAGAACATACAAGGCATTGAGGGTAGCCTAACCATGCGTCGTATCTCACGCAAGTATCCTTTACGCTAAGACACTGGGAGATAGAATTTTGGGACGGTCGCCGGCCGGCATGATCTTTTGGGACGGTCGCCGGCCGGCATGATCTTTTGGGACGGTCACCGGCCGGCATTTAGCTCCGCCCAGATTTATGGAACGGTCGCCAGCCGGAAGGCCGTCGTCGGACGGTCGCCGGCCGGTGCGAGTGTCTGAGACGATCCTCGATGTTTGAGGTGAGGAAAGCATATAGCCCAGACAGATCGGTACAACAGTGCAAGGTTAATAACTAAACTAAATCTTACTGACATAAAATGCAACATTGTAAACTCGAATCTTTTCTGACTTTTGCCAAATCGAAAAATTTTGGAATTTTATTGAATAAGAAAAACTGCTCTGGCGCCTCATAACTTGCAAAGAGCAGAATACGATGGCAAACAGATCCTACCTGGTAGGTAAGTGAAAATTGATAAACGTTAAGTGTTTCCAATGGTTTTTACAGCCTTCGTAAGGTGCACTGTACGGGAACAGCATCTGGGTACTAGTGTTGCGCTCAAGAGTCCTACACAAGTCTGAAAATGGAGTTCACCTTCGAAGGCTAATTAGTATATATCAGTTTGAAGCACTCACTGATGCTGATGATAAATATCAGATTGACAAACAAATAACCGTTTCCAATTGTCCTTTCTTTGATAGAATGGATAGGCGATAGCTGTGCAGAACAAAACGGATAACGCTTCATATAAGTAACTAGATGCAGTTGTAAATAGAATTAAGAAGGTGCAAAAACATATTTTCCTCTGAAAACAGCTGAATATGAATATGAAGAACAATACGAATAAGCTGAAGTAAGCGGTAAAAATTCATTGACGTACCCTTCATCCTCTCTGAGGCCCAAAACAGAGTTCACTGATTTGATCGTCGCGATTCAATCGCCGAGGATTTCCATTCATTTTCATTTTACAATCAAAAATTTCGGGCTGGAAAAGTATTACAACCGAAATGCAAGCCGATCGGCATGCAATGAACTCGTAGCAGTTGTCTTGTCGCGACTGAATCGCGACGATCAAATCGCGTGAACTCTGTCTTGGGCCTGAAATGAATCCGCAGTTGCACAATCATATAAATTACATTTGGTAGCATTGCCAAAACTGATAAGATTGTAGGAATCAGAGCTGCATAAAATCGGAAATTCACTTCGTGTAGTTCCTGAACTCTGCCTTCTAAAAACCATCTTCCAAAAGTTTTTTGTAAATACTCACTGTCAAAAGTTTGCATGGGGTATCTCCAATGACTGCAGAGAGCGTGATTTTCATGCTTCCTGGGAATAGATTCATCAGAACAGTCATGGAAAACTGACGGAGATAGCTTAATCACCAAATCCGCATCAAGGGAATCAAATGAAGCACGCTAAACGGCGTCAGACACTAGCTTTGGGAGTGAAACTGACTTGCTGAGGGTTTCAGTGGTAAACGAACATCAATACGAAGGACCCTGAAACACAACTGTCCAAAGCATTCGACCAAAGAAGTATACAGGGAGCTGCGACAACGAAAGTCAAACCGTTCTGTCAAAGGCTCATATAGTAGGAAACGGTCAATAGCGTGATTTTTATGTAGATCAAAGAAAAGAGAGAGAAAGAGGAAGAGAGGAAGAAATGAGAAAACGGTGCCGACTGGATAAGATGGAGAAGCAGACGACAAGACGAATGAAGGGAGAGTACCTGAAGAGCTACATTCATATGCATACCGGGGTTGATGTCTGCGAGATTGTAACTGGCCAAAAGGTTTGAGGGATTGCAGGACGGCGTTAATGAGTGTGGGAAATAAAGTGAGAAAGGGGTGCAATTAGCATACTAAGTTTTGGCGCACAATTATTACTCTAGATAGTTTTACAGCTAAAATTCAGCCGGACCCAGCATTTAGATAGAACACGACAATCTAGTTTCATCCTGCGGCCGGGCAAGGGGCAAGTATTTGATTCGAACGTAGCAAGTTATAGTTGCGAAACCGGCCTGGACTCTACCGAAAGCTCAGTACTTCCAAACCATCAAAGGACATAATGGAAGAATTCCAAAGTCTCTAGAGATTCACAGGGTTTACGCTGAACGCACTAAATCTGCGTACTTCCGGATGCTTCGCGTAGTACTACAGCGCGCCTATTGAAAGCATGTAACGCATACGCGAAGGACTGCACTTTCGGTCCTAAGAAGAATCCCGTCTTGAGCAAGAGACCAGGAATGGGTGGCGAAATATATGTGACGAAATGGAATGTATGACGAAATTCAGTACTCATTTGGGATGGCATCAGCCTCGTATGGTGATGCCTAGATTCTTTTTGATCCTGTTATCGTTTTGCTATAGCATTAAGAAGAGTAAAGATAACTTATTTCCAGACGGAAAGAGGATATTGCAATGTCCCAAAGCGGCAGCAGCATTATGGAAGATTGGTTGATGTGAGTTTCCATGCATTTTAGAGGGCAGAAAAGAAACATTAAAGTAAGGTTTAGGGATGATCCTCAAGAGACCGTGTCCAGCGGTACACCTACGACATCTCAAGAGCGCAGGCATAGATATTTCCATCCATTTTGTTCACATTTTTCTTTTCTAAAACAAAAAGGAAACTTGCATATTCGCAACCAATTGCAGGTCCACACAATCTACAACGCCGCAGACCACTCAAGCTGTGACGCAACACAAGTCATCAGTGAGTGGCTACTTATTACTACCCAGGGATGTGCTGCTGAAGGCGACAATCGCAAATTTCGTGCCTTTCAAGTACTTTCACCTACTGTTTCCGGCGTCAAAAAAAAGGGGGGAGAGCGTGGAGGTGAACGATGCATAATTCTAACGTATCTTATAACGCGTAGGTGGGAGAGGGAAGGACTTGGGAGTTTTATGCTGCTCGCCCTTCGCACGTATTGTCGCCTTCCCTACCGTCTTCGAGTGTATGCCAAGAACAACGATAGCTAGCAGTAGCGGTATCTCGCGTACTTGCTTATCGTCGAGGGGGTTTCGCTGTTTGAATATCTATAGTGCAATCATGCACCTGTTTTGGGAGCTCTTACTGAATCAAAACTTTTGCAGGCTAGTTCGGTTTGGAAGTTTTTTACGAAAGTCTTCGATAAGGAAACCAATACGGAATCAGCAATATGTCGTTTCTGCGCTAAAGCCATGCGCGTACCGAAAACAAGAACCACATCAAATTTGTTGCACCACATTCGAAACAAGCACGAGAAAGAAGCAGAAGAATTTGAAAAGCAGGAATCAGAGAAGAGGGAGCAGCAACAACAGAAACAACCAAAACTCGAGGAAATGTTTCGAAGAAAGATCAGTAAATCCTCAAAGGAAAATATGGACCGAAAACTTGTTATTTTTCTCGCAAAAGCTTCGCTCCCACTAAACATCATCGAGCTGCAATCCTTCAAGGAACTCGTGCAAACGCTGAATCCGTCCTACGCCGCCCCAACCAGGAAAACCCTGAAGAAACTGATGCAGAAAGAAGTTCGTAGCATTGACGAGGGGAACAAGAAACTTTTCAGTGGTGATGTCAAGCTCGCGATCACTGTAGACGAGTGGTCATCAAAAAACGCCTCCTGTGCACTGTTGGCGATAACCGGACACGTTTTGAAGAGGGACTTCTCAGAGAGGGCCAATGTGGTTTTAGATTGTGTCCCATTGGACGAGGAAAGGTCGGTGTGATATAGTGATTGAGGCTTTCCAATAATCTGCGCTTTAGTCACACGAGCGATGTGATAAAATCAAAGATTCTGGCAAGTTTTGCAATCTTGGGATTGCCGCGAATAACGTGTCATTTATGGTAGCGGATGGGGCCACGGTCATGATAAAAGCTGCTTCCGATTTGGGCATACAGTAGTGAGTGTTACGTCCCATCCTTGCATTAATCTTACTCATCGATTCAATTAAGCATTCACTGCTGTGCACATGTTATAAATCTGGCCGTATCTCAAGCTCTAACCCTTCCTGTGTGTGCGAATGCTCTGATGAAGAAAACCTTCAAAAGGTAGATTCCGCGCCTATTTGGAAAGTCTTGAGTTATATTCTATATTAGGCTCCTTAAAGAGGAGAAGCTCCCTCAGGTCATCCCTATGACTGATGCGCCAACGAGGTGGTCATCCACATATTTTATGATATGCGATTTCCTTGCCGCGGTAGGTCAAGTATGATATCCTCAATTTTGCTGACAATGCTGTTTGTTGTAGATGTCGGCCATTGAAAGAGTGGCATCACTTTTTGACATGGCGCCTCCGGAAGACGGAGAGATCCGAACCTTAAAAACGATGCGAACGTTCCTGCAGCCTTACCAAGCGGCGACCAATCAGGTATTCATGGATTCCAGTTAATATCCGATTTTAACCTTTTCACAGGTGTGCTACCAGTCATCATGCTGCTCAATGTATATTGCAGTCGGGAAGCTTCTTATTGCCAAAACCGAAGCGTGAGTTAAATTCTGTGTGAACGTTCTTACTCAAGTTATATCACATTTTAGAAATCTATCGAATGCACGAAGGGAAGGCCAGCTTTTTAGAGGAAAACTGCTGGAAACAACAAAGGAGTACTTTGGCAGAATCTTTTTGAGTCAAACTTTGCGTTTCGCAGCGCTATGCGACCCGAGGTTCGCTTTTTTGGACGCCGTGCTGAGTAAAGACGAATGGAAAGAAACTTCAAATCATTTTCTAATGTGCAAAAGTAAGTCAGTCGATGGTTTTGTGCAACTGCACTACTGCAAATTTCAGAGGACATATGCGACACTCCTGTGGACGAGGATGTCAGAACCAGCCCTTCCCCGACGCCAGCGGGGTCCGAAATGTGGTCTCTGATCACTTCCCAACCTTCAAGTCCACCCACCAGATCCTCGCAAATGCAAGAAGAAGATCTGCAGGTAATTTCAAGTACAGTAATCGTTATCAGGCCTCCAATCCATTGCGTTTAAATGGAGCTGCAGCAGTATTCGATTCATTTGAATCGAGGTAACGCACGCCCACATGCCGAATCCAATCCAGTAACCTGGTGGCACAATCACCAACAGCAGTTTCCAATACTGGCGTCATCTGCCTTGGAATACTTTGCTGCTCCGTGCACATCAGTCGATAGCGAGAGACTCTTTAGGTCTGTGCTCCCATTATATATGCGTTGGACGATATTGCTATTTAAGCACCGCCGGAATCATTTTTGGAAACAAAAGAAGACAACGTTTGCTGGGAAAAACCGCCAGGCTTTTCCTCATGATCAACGCTAACACTAACAAAGACACAAGCAGGTGACTTGATTTCCTCAAAGAAACAATACACAGAGACAGAATATTCAGGGCTTGCAAAGCTTGGAGTCAGAGAGAAGTTGAACGTTATGGTTGCCATGGGAGTTCTAACCCACCATCCACTAGTTCTGAGCAGTCTTCATCCGAAGATTCAGAGGAATTCTCCGAAGAAAGCGTAGAATTCTAGATCCAGTGCCTTCTCTATACATTGGTGATTCTGATGGTGTATGTTTTGCCCATGTCCATGTATCATACACATTCCAGCAATGCTTTGAAGATGTTATCCGTACATATATAGAAAGTATGTCAAGCACTTTGCCTTAACATTGTTGATCTTGATATGGAAAAGGTCATGTTTTGTTTATGTCGCATATATTCCTACAATACTCGGAAGAAAAGTATCCCAATTATGTAGCATAGATCAACAACTTTGCTTTTACATTGTTGATTCTGATAAGAAATAAAGTTATTCCTTGTGTACATCAATCTCTTTCAAACCATCTGAAGAAGAGTTTTCTGGGCACAACATAAAATTTATATCGTCTGCTTCTCTTATCGCTCAATAATGGGAAGTAAAATATGACGTTTTGCTGATGCATAGACTAGTTGCCAACCGACTAATTTTATCGATTTGAAGGAAGCTACGGGGCTGGAAGTTGGTATAGGGGGGTAAGTGAGGGTGCTGATTATGAAAAAAATTTTGTTTACCGATTTTTGGGAAACTTTGGGCTACGGAGCTGGGAGTTGGTACAGGGGGGTAAGTGAGGGTGCTGATTATGAAAAAATTTTGTTTATCGATTTTATCGATTTTTGGGAAACTTTGGGCTACGGAGCTGGAAGTTGGTACAGGGGGGTAAGTGAGGGTGCTGATTATGAACAAAACTTTTGTTTATCGATTTTATCGATTTTTGGGAAACTTTGAGCTACGGAGCTGGGAGTTGGTAGAGGGAGGTAAGCGAGTGTGCTGATTATGAATAAAATTTTTGTTTATCGATTTTATCGATTTTTGGGGAACTTTGAGCCACGGAGCTGGAACTTGGTACAGGGGGGTAAGTGGGAGTGCTGATATAAACTAAATTTTTATTTATCGATTTCACCGATTTCTGGAAAAGCTTGAACTAGGAGTTGGTGTAGGGGATATGAGGGTGCTCATTATGAATGAATCGGTTCTAGCCAGAAATGTCAGCAAGTTTGTTGATATGTTGCAGTAATTATTCGAAAAATCATTCGAATATCTATTCGAAATTCGACTCCCAATGTTCGAATATATTCGATATTCATTCATTCGATATTTTTGATTTTCCGAATTTATTCGAAATTCATTCATTCGAGTTTTTTTTCATTTCCGAATTTATTCGAAATTCATTCATTCGGGTTTTTTCCATTTTCGAATTTATTCGATATTCGTTTATTCGAAATTTTTCCTTTTCGAATTTATTCGATATTCATTCATTCGATGAAAAATTCTCGAATTACCCAAGTATACTGTGCAACCCAACCCAGGCGGAAAATTGGAAAGATTTGTTGAAACTGGCAGACTGCCATACACCTACCGTACTCGCCTCCATTGCCGAATGGGTCAGTTTATTATAATCAGCGCATTTGATGCCCCACTGAGCAAGTTTCCGAACATATACATGCGCAATCGACTCTCACCGTACACCCGCAACTCTACAGTGAACCACAAGTGCAACAAATAAATATTATTTTTGTAATGAGCACATCGAATGAGCCCTCCATGCAGAGATTCAGGCGTACCAGTGTAAAGTGACCTTCTACCGTATGCCTATCGTACCCCCACTTCCAATATATCAGAAGATTCTCCGCGCCGAGCTGAATCGAATGGTGGCTTTGGATTCAGAATTCGTCCATGTAACAAGACACTGGACCATCTCTTATCTCACTTCTATTCCGAAGAGAAAAAGCGAGATAACCCACATACGCACAAAACATAGATAGATGTGATTTTTATTACGCGAATCTCGCACTGGAAAATGAACAAATGACTGTTCTGATTCTAAGAAATCTTCAAACAAAAGCCACACTACCATTATGAAACAGCAAAACTAGTTGCATGGAACTACATTTTTAGATTCATGAAGTTGTGTTCGTCCTCCTGACCTCTTCTTGCTTGTATCTTTCTAGCTATGCTTTGAAACTTGGCTCTGAAATAAATTTTGTGTTGAGGTAAAAAAAATTTTTTTTAATAATTGCCTTCTAGGCTATGTTTGAGATACAGTGTTTGGGATACTTCCTCATGATGGTACAGCAAATATAAAGGAGCAATGATTCAAGCACTATATCATTGTTGAAATTTGCAGTACCCAAAAAATTGAGGAAACAGATTGATGAAGCTCTCAAAAAGCCAAGTGAAGAGCTATGAGAAAATGTAAGGCAAGTAAGGGAGATTATGCTTGATGACGTGAACTCACAAATGACGCTTTGAACCATTTGCAAGGATTTGAGAGACAGTGAGCGACGTATTTGCTGCAGAAGATTTGTCCGATTTCTGTTGTCTCATGTTTGAAGCCGCTGTTACGAGAGATTCTTATTCTTAATGCGATCTTGTTTGTGGCAAACGCCTTTCTTGCTCTTTCTGAGACATACTAAATTCCAATAAAATTCACAATCTAGCAAGAGTACTAGCTTAGGATCTTACTTAGCCGAGAATAAGGTCTCACTTAAGAAAAACGTGCTTGCAAAATTTCATACTGCGTCTCCCAACTCAGCTCCTTGTAGTCACGAATTAAAGGTATCAACAAGCTAGTATATCTTCAAAAACCATTTTCATGTTAGAATCGTTTTGCTTGTAAAATTTTTTGTCGAAGTGTAATCGTTCGTATAATCGGACAAACAATAGCATTCTGTGAATAGACACAATCTAAACTAAAATAGGTGCTACAGTAAAGCAAGGCTAGCAGGGTTCAAATACCAATTACTTTCCACCGGTCGTAACTAGTGGGCATAAATGCGAATGTTGAACTGAGGCCAATATAAACGGCTTCTTTTTTATTTGGTCAAAACTCTCGGCGTCAAGTTTAGGTGCTCTTTTTGAATACAAAATAATCTTTGAAAATCGATTTTTCTACTAATTTCTTACAATGGAATGTCAAAACACAGGTTTGAAAAAGTACATTGAAAAATTTTGAGTTCTTGTTTCTTTTTTGACGGGTTCTTTTGCAATGTTTAGTACTTTCCTAATAGCTAAGAAATATCGCGAAAAGCTGATTTCAAAAGTTCAAATCGGACAAAGCTCATGCAGGCTGATACTTCAAGAACACAGGCGATGATTAGGCTCAACGAAAAAGTCCACTGCTGTGAGCAAATAATTTTTAGTAAGAAAAGTCGTTCTTACATAAAATTTTTGACTCTTCGTTGGTACTCTTTAAAATCTACGGGCAGTTCTCCGTTGTGCTCAAGAGTTGCTTTGATGAACTCTGAAACAGGCATTACCGTTTGCATTACACCAACAAAACGTGCTCTTACCGTAAATCTGCCCTTGGTTAACGAAATGGAGCTCCCGAGGATTTTCCGAAGGCGATAAATTTTTCCAAGATTTCACATTAAATGCCGAAAACCGTGGTGTTTATGAAACTCTAGTAGACTAAAAAAAATAGAATAAAGAATGTCCTACCTGCACAAGAAGCATGGTCATAAAGTTTGCGAAAAATTCTCCTGGAGTCTGTGGTCCTGTTTGTCTCAAGCTATTGTAGATTTCCTTGGGGTCAACAGTCCTCCCATCTTCTCCAACAAATTGTGTCAAATTTCCATCATTTAATTCAGAGTCATCACGGCCAAACCACTCATGTACGTGTTCGTTTAGTCTTGGTGGTTCTGGTGGATGTGGTATGTCAACCTGTGTAGTATTTTATAACATCGACGAAGATTTTTGGAAGTTTTAATATTGTACACGACTGTGTTCGCGTACCTGATTTACCATTATAGTGGCAATGACGCGAATAAAGCGGACAACATCCTCTCGCCCCGGAAGTCCGCGACCCTCGCCTAATAAAGGACTTAGATCTGCCATTGCCTCGCTAATTTGATGAATGTCAACTGGTTGATGTTCTGCTATTCCTAAGAATTCTATGGCCCTATTCTGAACGTCTTTGTTGTAGTTGACTTTGATGCACTGAAACACAAAACATGACATGCTTGCAACCAACTTCTCATGTTATAGGCAGTCCCAAACTACATAGATACTATGTTTTTCATTTTTGTTTGTAGTTTCTGCTCGTATGAGTAATACTTTGCTCAAGGCGGTTACAAAAAAACAGCATTTTTTCTCATTTTTCCCCAAACTTCTGTTGCTCCAAATTTCACCGGGTAAACATCATGCACTCTCTCCCTATGTAAGGTATAAAGCGTATGGTAGCCAGTGCATGTGCTGCGACTTTATTGATAATCGATCGAGTTTCTCTTCCATTCCAAAAGAAGTAGATGAAGTACCGTTTCTAAATTACCAAGAAAAACATCTGCACCCTTTGCAAGGCATAAGTGAAACTGAGAAAAGCGCAACAAAAACAAGATGCGTAATGCCAGAAAGGAAGGTTTCACTTAGAGCACATATCCATATGTGTTCTTAAAAAGCGAAGTTAGTGGATTCGCCGGAAGAACCTACGTTGAAAATTTGATTGAATAATGCAGCCATCGTGCTTGCAGAGTTTTCTCGCTTCGGCTGTAAAGAAATAATTCCGAAATATAATAGAAAACGTGAAGACATACGAGTCATTAGATGATTCAACATTGAGTCAAGTCTTTCTCGGAGTGAAGCTTTAAGATAACGGTTTCAATAAGTGAACGCAACAAGTGTGAAGCACACTGTATCAAGACAGCAATACATGTTTGAGGTGAAGTACAGAATTAAGGGTTTTCTCGAGAATGTTTGACAAAAACTCAAAGGATTAAATGACTCCTTGAAATAAAGAACATACTTCCTCAGCCTATTCCACATTTGCAAACGAAAATCGTTTTCAGTCAGACGAATTCTGCACCTGAGACCTAACTTTTGGTTGTATGGAATCACGCATTTGTTGATTAGAGCAGAATTTGCTTGTTTGGTGGTCGTTCTTCTTACAATGATTGAACACATTTACAAAACCAATAACATGGTTGCGCTAATCAGATTTCGGAAAACAGAAGTACAGATAAAATAAATAAAAGTAGAAAGGCCTGCAAATTTCAAAACCGTTTCGAAAAATCGGGTTCAAGATAGAGTACGCTCGCGAGGTGATGGAGGTTTCAATCCAGAATCAAAAAAAAATAACCAGATCCCAAAAATGTTTTGTTGATAAGAGTCACTCCGTCATACTCATAATGTACTTCTTCTTCATCAATATGGAATAGCGCTTTTTTCAATGTTGATAGAAATTACAATAACGAAAATCCCAATTTATACCAATTTTTACACCAATCAATCAAAACGTTGATTAAACGTTGCAAAAATTCTTTAATCACAGGGGCAATTTTCGTGATTATAATTTCCGTATATTTTAATTTCGTCTGCATAAATAAGAACAGTAACATTGGGATGAGTTTTTTCAATATCCCAGGTAAATCTGCTGTATAGATCGTAAAAAAAGAGAGGTGAAAGAGCTTCTCCCTGGGGAAGACTTGCCCAAGGAAAACGTTAAGAGTAGCCTCCTGATGCGAACGGTCATATCTCTACAATGCAAGGAAGATGTAAACCAATCTATAAGGATCTTTGATACCATAGTGCTCAACTTTCTAATAGTTTTGTCGTGACCTATAGGATCAATGCTTTGGATAAGTCAAAATAAATGTACTTTTTGGCCATTCAAAGCAGCTCTGATCCAATCATGGGTACGGTCAATCAGCTGTGTAACTGTCGATGCTCCGCTAACAAACCCCTGCTGCTCAGGGAATCATCTTGAATTTTTCAAACCATGCCAAAAGTTTGTCTTGAATAATTTTCTCTAAGACCTTGCATAGAATAGGATTGATAATTATAGGCCAAAATCCGATACAGTTTGTTGTTTATTGACTTTTGGAACAACAGTAACAAAGGCCTCCTTCCGGATACTTGATACTTTACCGCACAGAAGAGATGTATTAGAAATGTGGGAAAAGGGGAACATAAAGCTATTTTGCAGATCGTTTGAACACGATCTGTGGTATACCATCAAAAGGCTCGAAAGTTGAGTGCTTAAGACTTTTAAGATAGTGGCCAACCATAGAGGGCATGACAATAGGAGCTGAGCAGGTAAAACGTAGAGAGGTATTAATTCAGAAGTTTTCGTGGAAAAAGTGTTTGCGAGAAAAACACACCGACGGCTTGTGTTTCTCTGATCCGTTAGGTAAATATTGCCCAACATGTCCTTTAAGGTACCAAAGTTTTTGACGCGAATTCGACTGCGGATATATGCCAAAAGACCCCCTGAATTTTTGGACAAATTTAAGTCCTTCTCATGATTGACGATGAACTTCCTGAGGTAGAATGCCATATCGGAGCAAACTTTCTTATACAGTTCACTATCATATCAAGATTTTTCAAATAGTCTGTCTTTTTGCATTAGAAGTAACTGAACATGCTTGGGATACTTTAAGTAACCAAGTCCTGGAGTTCCAAATGTGGTGTTAGGGTGAACGGTAAAAATTAGGGCAGCTTGATTTTCATTACATTTTTGAATTTTTTGTTTCGAGCAACAACAAGTAGGCTACAACTTAAATGTCGCTTACATGGACGACCTTCGCCTATTATTCTGGCAACGCGTTACCGCTCATCTCTCATAAACGTACACGTGGCGCCGTGAAGAATTCAGACAGGGTTTTCAACACAATTCTCAATCTTACGCTGCTATACCGTAAAGTCGTAAAGCCGTTGACGTACCATTCAAAAGAGCTCTTCGTGCTCTTTCAAATGATATGTTAAACACAAGAGCTTTCTTTTGAGTTTAAGGAAAAAAGCGAAAAATCTTGAAAAATAGCTACTTTTGGGGCATTAAAAAACCAAAAATAATGTTTCGCCCTATATTTTCCAAAGATAGATAAAATCTGAGGCAAGCTGCATATGTATAGATAGAACGTAAAAAGCTCTATCAGATGGTACCTGGAAAACATGTGTTCACCTGCAAAAAACTGAATAACGCGCATCTTTGTTCTCGGAGCTGCTAACGACCATATCTCCTGACTTTGAAAGTTGAGGCCACCAAGCCGCCGTGGATTTGATGACTGTCCCACCACCCACTCCAGCAGTGGTACTTTGGGTGGTCTCACATGTTTCACTGCGCAGATACTGCTCTAACTTCATAATTTATCAAAGTGACTAACTTTGAACTTTAGCAAGTAAAAACTCACTAGATGTGTAAATGACCTTATATAAGCACTATCTAAAAGAGAATAATTTATTCTAATATCCGTCAAAATTGGAAAGTTCAATCACTTTTCTTCCTTAAGGAATCTGCAATTATTCTCAAGGTGTCCCATTTTTTACCGTTCACCCTAATGAATTTGTTGTCGATATTTGAGAGAGAGAGAGAGAGCGAGAGAGAGAGATGTGAAACATTACTTGATTTGCCCAAACAACACAGCTCATCTTTGTGGAGAAAAAAGTGCGATTGTCGCCTGACTTAAGTAACATTGAAGGCAGTGTCCCGGCAAAAAGACAGGTGCCGGGTTTTTGTAGCGATGTTAAAGTCGATCCCCTACTTAAGCGATGACTGAAGTTCGGAGCGAAGAAGGGAGTCTACCAAGCCTGAAATTTGCTTCGAAAATGGCCCGGATTTTACGGTAGGCCGGACGCCGCCCACATAGCAATTTCGAACAGCAAGATCAGAGCGCGCATAGCACACACAGTCATGAGGGCAGAGTTCCGCCACGACTCTGCTTCTCTACCCTCATGCATCTCGTACTCGCCCGAGCCTACCGTAAGATCCGGGTCACTTGGAAGAGCGATTTGTAGACTTTGTACACCCCTGTCGCGCTGCAAACTTCTGTCGTTGCTCAGTTAGGGGGTCTACTATTACATTACTACAGTGCTGGACATAATTATAAAGCCACTCTAGAAATCGTCGTAATTTGCGTTCTTGTCAATAAATCTGTCTGAAACTTTGCTGATTGTGCGCATGTCAACCTGCCATGACCACGGCTTCCAGTCTTGTTGAGTTCAAACGGCGATAGAAAAATTCGAAAAAGCCCGTATGAAAGCTGGGCAAATTTATAAAGCCACCTGGTTTTTCTAATCACTATCGCATTCGTTGACTCTCAAATTTTTTTGTACAATTCATCCTAAAATATGAAACATTTGCAACACCTATGGTCTGTCATCTTGCTCAAATAGAAGCGATCACTGTATTTTTTGCTTTCAAAAGCATCAAAAGTCAATCTGCTATAACAAGAAGCTGATTTAAGAAGGTTTCAAGCCATTGTTTATTTCAAATGATAGTCATAAAATCTACTGAGCATTTTCGATAGATGAGGTGAGGACTGCTTCGATAAACTCTGCCTAATCGCTGATATTGGCGGATAGACTCCAAATTCACCATAGGGCTGCCACGCTTTTACTCCACAAAACTCGATTTTCAAGCAACAGAAAGTACTGTAACGTAGCCATTACGACAGCCATACAACAGTGAACTTGTGCGCATGACTAGGAAAAAATTTCGGGATTGAGCACTCTGGTTTAGCCACCCAGTGAATGATGAGGAAGCACCCCGCACAAAACCAACTCAGATCACGAGATAAAACGGGAGGCGCTTAAAACTTCAAAATCTCAACTAATCTCATTTATCGGGTGAAATATGACATGGAACACAGAGGGAAATAAGGAGATCTGCTTATATCGAATCTTCTGCTCGCAGGGAATTTCCTTGAAAAGTTTTTCAAATCCAAATCGCAACTGGATCACCAGGGGAAAACCAGAATTTGTTGCAAAAGCTGCATCACCATGGCAATGTGATAAATCAAAAGAGTTTTGTGGGGTAGAAGCGTGAAACCCTATGGTGAGGTTGGAGTCTGTCCGCCAATATCATTATGCAGAGTTTATGGAAGCGCTCCTTGTCTCATCTATCGAAAATGCTCAGCAGATTTTGTGACTATCATTTGAAATACAAGGGCTTGAAAACTCCTCAAACCAGCTTCTTGTTAAAGCAGAATGACTTTTGATGCTTTTGAAAGCAAAAAATGCAGTGATCG